TGCCAACGATGCCGCTTTCCCCGGGTCAGACTCCTTCTGTGGCTGTCAATGTTGGCGCGGGTGGTTCGGTCAACTCCGTCACGCACCCAAATGAATACAAACGGCTTGCTCGTTTCATGAAGTCTCAGCGAAACACTCATTTGGTGGAGATGGGAAAGATGTGGAACAAAAGCTTGAGCGACAAGAACAAGTTGCTTAAAGAGTGGATCAGTCACGGTGAAAACGCGGACAAGATCGAAGCGTCGCTTCTTTTCAAGTTGGAGCACCAGGATCGGGAAGGAGCTGAAGAGGAACAGTTGACTGTGGAGCAAATGCGGAGGGAGGGCATCCCAGAGAAACTTGACCCAACTTTTTCAGTTGACATGTCCTGACACTTGTTTGTCCACCTTTGCTGAGCTAGGGCAACGGTCCTGTGGTTTTCCAAGAGTATCTAAGGGAGAAGATCCGGGCCACTGTGCAGAGGCAAGCAGGCACCAAGGATGAAGATTGCCCAACGAACCCGGGCCTTACTCGCTACTGGGTGGTGGTGAAACGCAGGCGCACGAGAGAGACCTGCCGGACCACAGCAGCGCAGGTTACTGGCGCGGCTCACGCTTCACAGGTTGCTGAGCTGATGGGCAACGCTCCTATGTCTGAGCTGTCTGGAACCCCATCGTCAATTCCAACCCCAGAGGTGCTCAATTTCCTTCAGAACTCAGCGCCGCCTGCAGGTGGCAACCCTGGAGGACTTCTTGCTTTTGTTGTGGAATGATGCTTTGTCTGTTGGAACCCATGTTCCTGTGACTCACCATGTATGCGCGTGTGAGGAGGAGATCCTGCCAGTGTCGCTGGCCCCAAAGCAAAGGCACGCGCGAAGGCAAAGGCAAAGGGGGCGGCTGGCCCCCTAGGCTTGAAACTTGAGGGTAAGAACGTCGAGGATCGAGTGCAGCTGGTCCGTGTAGCCCTCAAACTGCCTCTGTTTGCCTGGTAAGAAGTGCATCTGTGAAAAACCAATGTTTTGTTAGTTTCCCTGCCTAAATTGTCAAGGTGTTGAACTTAAGAAGGAGATGAATGCGATTTCCAATTTGAAATTGGACATGGGAAGCGATGCGCAGCACGCTGACAAATTGGCTAGCGCCAGCGATGATTTGGATTTTTGCTGGCAGAGGTGGGGGATGTAACCATTTAGATTTTCCCAGGTCTACACAGTACCTGTCAGGTGTGCCCACATGGTGGATTCCAACACCTTTGATGCGGAGTTCAAGGTGATTGTTGAGAAGGCAATTTCACAATTCAGAAACTTTACGAAAATAGTGGCCAATCTGCCCAGGTCTCTGCTGTGCGACTCTTGAAAGCACAGGTCCGAGCATATCACAAAGAGTTGAAAAAGCGATCCGGACTTGTTTCCAACCTTGGGATTGAAATTTGGTGTCCTTCAATGCTTCAAGGTTGTCTATTTTTTTTTGCGGCCATACACAGCCAGGGGCTACGCCAAGCAGGCAACTGCCTGATGGATTCTCCTGAGTTGGCGCACGCAATGCGTGTGAAATTTTGGCTTACTCTTCAGTTCATTAGATGGCATATACTGAGCTAGCTGTGCCCTATAAGCCTATACTATATACAACTGTTCTCTGTAAAGTGTCTATAGATGTGACATGCAGCGGTGGTTTCCAAAATATTTTTCTGCAGCTATGCAAACAACGAAGGCCAGGGGCTAAGCTGACATTGCTGAACCATGTCGGTTCGATTCTTGTAACAAGTGTGCTCGCTGCACGCAGTGCTCTGAGAAAAATGTTATTTTTCTGCATTGGTCTTGCGCACGGTGAAGCAGTTCATTTTGCATCAGTGTTGCGCCTGGCTGGGCCAATTGTTTTTTCTTTGACTGTTCACTCGCGATTCCAGGTATTGCCCATGTTCGGAATGCATTGGATGAGAGGACTGGTTTTTTGCGCTGCTGTAAGATGGTTTGGGGGGGTTCAGTTTCAGCCAGGATTTTACGAGATGTTGGCGAAGGTGCTCAAACTTGGAAGGGGGCCAAACGGCTTGGTCAAGTGTATGGAAGCTCGCTTTTCGGTGTGAGGACTGGGGTGTCTATCACACAGTTTTTTAAAGGATTCAGTACTGCAGGTTTCCCAGCGTGAACCTTTTGCAGGACCAATGAGATGCATATTGAGACCAGGAAGACGTTCCCACTGGCACCGCCAGTGACTTACCATCAGATTGTGATCAAAGATCCGGAAACCCAAGTGGTGGAGCTGAAAGAGTGGCCTTTTGTCTTGCCCCATCACATAGTCTTTCTCTTAGCGCTTGCAGGTTTTGTGCTTGTCGCAATGTATGTGTGATGTTTTCCACCAGCGTGCAAACAAGCCGAAGGTGAGATCGTTCATCCAGTCTGGCTACAGATTTGCTCTGGGCAAAGCGCCGGCAGAATTCTGGGCAAGCATTGGGCATGATTTGGTGAATCAGTACCCGAATGATGACCATGCAGCTGTGACACTCTATGGTGATGAAGGCAACTACCTTCAGGAAACCTGGCTGTGTTTGCACTTCATGGCAGAGTGTCTGGACCCAAAGTTGATGAGTGATTCACGGGCCAGTCGCTTCATGATGGTCTGCATTGACAAATCTCGTTACCATGTGGAGGGACCAGTCAACGTGACAATCCAATCCACTTTGGCTGTCATTTGTAACAGTTTCAAAACTCTGTCAGAGGGGATCTGCACTGGTGATTCTGTCTTGCGCGTTTGGTGCGCAAGCTTGAAAGGGGATTGGAAATTTATCCGGCAGGCAATGTCTTTAGAAAGGCATTACAATTCCTCTGAGATATGCTGGATATGTTTGGCAACTACTACTCTTTCCCAACCGTGGACAGATGTGAGTGAGTCAGCTGCTTGGCGCTCCACGGAATACACGAAAGATCCGTGGCCAGAAGGGGCGGCTCCATCCATCATGGCCCTTCCAGGATTCAAGCTTCAATTTGTGCAGGTAGACTTGCTGCACAGTTACTATTTGGGAATGGCTCGAAGCCTGGCATCGTCTGTGATGTATATTCTTGTCAAACAGCAGTGTTTCCAGGGAAGGAACATAGATAGCAGACTCCACAGTGCTTCCCGGCTGTTCAAGGCCCATTGCAAAGCAAGAGGCCATTATGTGGGCAAACACTTTTTCTTCACAAGGTCCAAACTCCATTGGAAGGGTGGTGAGAATGTGGAGCTGAAGGCGAAAGCTTTCGTGAGTGGTGTAGTCATTCAGTGGCTGGCTGTTTTCATGGAAGAATCCCGGTCCAAAGAGAGCGCTGAGCAAGCTGAACGGAACGACCTTATGCGAACATTGGTGTATGTGTGTGACAAACTTTTTGCGTACATGCATGCACTTCGGAAAGAGGGTGTGGTGGTGCTCAATGAAAAGCAAGCAGAGCAAATCTCTGTAATGGGTGAGGCGTTGATTCGCTTATACTTGGTGCTGGCGTCTGGTGATTGGAGCAGGTACCCCTGCAAATTGTTCCACTGCCGACCAAAAGTCCATATGACACACCACAGTTTCCTTTCGGCGAAATCCACAAGAAGGCTTCCTGTGAATTACACAACATGGATGGATGAAGATTGGGTAAAGCATTGCATGAGACTTGGGCGTCAAACGCACCGAGCAACGGGAGCGCTGAACACTCTACGGCGAATGTGGCTGGCGACGTTGTTCAAACTCCGTGATTTTGCGCAGAGCTGAAAAGGAAAAGTTTGTTCAGTGCTTCGGCATTTTCTTTGTTTTGTCTTCAATGCATTCCCTCACGATGGTTCAGATATTGTAGGCGTCCTCGGGCAAACCAAACCTGTGCTGAATTGTCCCAGGTTATCGCTTGGCCCTTTAAGTCAAGTTTTGTGCGCGTGTGTGTTTGTCATCACCTGTTCCTAGGGATCGACCCTACCTTCTACCGCTATTCGTTCTTGCTGACAAATTGCACAGCACCTAGGGGATCTTGTAACGCAAGTGCAGTAGCCCACTCATGAGTCTACTGCCAACGACGCTGCTCGTGAGTTTGGGAGAATATCGGAGCTGATCACTCTGATGTACCTGCGCAAAATCTGTGGTAGCGGAGGTGTTTCCAACTGCAATTGCTTTATGTGGCCACAAAAAGACCTGACAGCCAGTTCCGCACCTCATCTGAGCAAATTTGCCTTCTGAAAGGCTGCGATACACTTTTTGGTGCCAAAAAAAAGGGCCACTGCATGGAAAAACCGGGGGGATTTACCTATGATACGGCCAAATCGTGGGGATTTGACCCTGGAACGATTCTCCAGGTTGGATAGGGGTCCAGGTATCTGGTATTTCGAAGTGCAAAACAAGCGAGCGTTGGGTTGTATATCTTGTTACATCGAGCGTTAAGTCAAAAAAACCTTGATTTACATTGCGTGGACGCGTTGCCTAATGCACTGCATGGACGCGTTGCTTACGCCCGCGGGGCGTAAGCGATGCGGACCCTCAGGGAGCTCCGAGCAGTGGGACCGCGTTGCCGTCCAAAAGGTCGCGTTGCTTACGCCCGCGGGGCGTAAGCGATGCTCCTTGTTTTTTTGATTTTTGGCTACATTCAAAGCAAGACCATCATATTCAATCATGCCAGCATGGTCAAGTGAATTCAGGCGGTTCACACGATCTTGGCACTGCTTTTTTCTTTCCCTGTGTCTTAATCTACTGCCCAAGCGGAAAGCCATCAAAAGTCTTGAATCTGGTGGGCACCCTGGCATCTCCATGCTCAGACTTGTATTCAGTGAGCTTGCTGAAGCCTCTTTCCCATTTCAACCGCGTCGCTTGTCAAAATTTCTCGGGGCCACGCGGAGATAAAACTGGAAACATGTTGGCTGTGTAAATGGAATATTAAAATGGAATTCCTAAAGGTACCCCCCCCTCGATCCTCCATTTTCGAGGAGGGGGGATCTTGAAACTCAACCGTTACATCAGAGGATGTCATTGTATGATGTGTGTTGCAACGTTGGACCACCCACGTCTGAGACCGCTGGGCGCCCGACCCAGGGACACGGCTGGGTTCAGCTCGCCACCTGACACCGATCGCAACACCGATCGCCGCAGGCCGCAGGACTCCGAAAACCGGAAGGAGAGAGGTGGCCTGTTTAACAGTATCCGAAGCGGTTGGTACCCAAACAAAAGGAATGGGACAGTCAGGGCAGGAGAGAAGACAATGTTCCAAGCACAATAGATTTCCTCCAGGAACAGCCTCCTATGTATACTCTACATAGTTGTTTGGATGGGATTGAAACGAATTTGCGATGATGTTGCTTTGCAGTAAGTCTGAGAGGATACGGGTGGAAGGGAGTGAGAGCGATCTGGTGTTGCAGCTGCCTGTTGCGAAGCTGTAGTCACTGTAGTCATCCACCATTGAAAGACAAAGACGACAGCTTCTCACCCAAAGACTACAAGGATCAGTTGAGCATAGTTGAACCATGTTGAACCCCTATACCCGAGGTTCTTCTCTTGAGTTTATCATGCCTGAGATGGATCCAGCAGCACAACCACCAACAGTCAAGCAAGATCCAATGGCCAGGCCGAAGTAGAAGTTCCTGAGCGACACCGAGTTGCAGGACGAAAAACCCGCTACCCGTCCCCTGGAAAACAGTGAACTGGTTTGAGACGTCTTACTGATCTTACTGTAAATCTGGATATTCTCGACACTATACCTATAATTCTTTGAAGGCTGATGGGATGAAGCAAGCGATGACATGATGTTGTTGCACGTGATTGCAGTTGTTCCACGACCGGCCTGAGGTCCCTTTGCTGGGGATTTCAGGCACACACCCATTCACCGCACCCTCCAAGGCCATATGCTTTCAGTTTTCATGTTGCCTTTCTGCTGCCTTGAAAACGAGGGACTGCTTGGTCTTCGACTCGGCGGGGACATCCCTGGTGGCGACTGCCAACGCCACGTAAGCCAGGATGGTGGTGAAGAAGAGCTCTGCAAAGGAGGCCTAAAGCAGGAGGGAGAGAGGGAAACACCAAGCAGCTTTGAGCTGCACAATGGAAATAGGATGAAATAGGTCAACGAATTCCCGTTTCTGGATGACGGGGTTTGTAGGTTTTTCTCGGAGGATTTGAGCACGTTCCGTGTGAAAACATGCTTCTGTGTGGCCCAAGAACCATACACCTGCCAAACATGTCAACTTACCTTGCACTCACCAAGAAAACCGTGGGACGGCTTCAATGACCTATACTGCGACTTGCGAGTCTCCGGCACGGCCCCACATGCCTGCCAAATGCTGTAGTGCTTGCCCATGGTAAGCCTGCAGCAAGCAGCTGCGGAGTGCGGACAACTAAACTTATCTCTTCCATGACTGAGCTGCAACATGTTCAATGTGACAGTGACATAAACATTTGCAGTTCCAACAAACATTGGATGAACATGCGTTTAAAAAAAAGAAACAGGTGAACCCAGTTGCAGGAGCTTGGTGTATCATAAGAGCAAGGCACGCTCTTGCGCATCTCCAATGATACCGCAAATGGATGCAATAGGCCCCTGACAACAAACAATCTTGAGACCTTTGTCCTTGAGACTTTGTCATGCAACTGCCTTGCTTACAGGAATCGGGACAAAGTACCAGTTACATGCCTAGTTGCATGCAACAGTTGCAGTTGCATTGTTCACGCAAACTCATTGTATGAACCAGAAATCCAAAAGATTCCACTCTGCACCCACACCCAGGGCACCGTGCCCGAACCTCAGAAGCTATGGACCTCACCTCAAAGGGTGGCAGCGGCCCCACAAGACCAGAGCCGCCCCCCAAATCCCAGCACCCAGACTGTTTGGTCCCGGCAACTGAATGGACTTCCGCGCCGTGAAGGAGACTCCGTGGAAGGCTGCCACGCCCAAGCCCGGCAGCAGTCCACCTGGCCGACCGTGTGACGATTCGCCGATCTCTCCATCACCGAACCCAATGAGGATGGGGGGGGAAGATTTAAAATCTGTGTGCTCCCCGGAGCGATGTGCCGGGACGTGACCGGCGAAGGATGTGCTGGGACACGCCCATGACCCATGGAGTTTCTTTTTGTTTGCAGGTGTAGGGGATTTCATAGGATTTCTATTGATTGTGTCAAGGAAGCTCAAAGCCTGGAAAATTGGAATTCTCCCTGGATGGGAGTTGTTGTAGGTTGTCCGTCCCTACTAAACCTGCCTTTTCGGAGCCTCTCCTCTGGTCGTTTCCCTTGGGCAGCCCAGCCCTCGGGCCCCCGATTGTTCGGTGCCTAGCAGCTGCGCCACGGCGTAGCAAAGCGCTTGGCGGCGGCCGCACTTGCCCCGCAAAAGCACTGCCAAAGTCACAGCTGGGTTCCTTGGTGCCAAAGACCAGGTCCGAAGTAAGGCAGCAAGTCTGAAACCGTCAACAAAGAAGCAGTTGGCGGCTTATGGTTTCATGGCTTCATCGAAGACCTGTTGGCAGCTTAGTAGGTATAGGTCATTCGACTCGACGACCGACCGAGTGGTCCGTCGCTAAAACCGAGCGCCAAATCACAGGTGTGCTCCGGAGATGTTTCCCACCGAGTAGATCATACACATCCTCACATGGCGGGAACCGCGTCGACCGGCGGTCACCATGGTATAGTGACTATATAGTGAGCCTACTTTTACGACAATCAGGAGATCAATCAATCAAATACATGTATATACTATGTTACATCAATAAGGAATTATCAGGATTCTCTCCAGATCAGGTAGCTGTGCAAGTCCATGTTCATGTGTCCACAATAAACATGCAGATCTGCAGATCTTCCACTTCAACCACAAATCTGGCATCATGGTGAATATCTGCACAACTTCACCCTGTAAAAACTATCCAAGTTGCAACGCAGCTGCCGCAGAGAAGGCCATGGAGGGCGACTTGCAAACCAAGTTCATGCCAACAGTGAAGACCTAAACTGCCCAGCATCGAGTAGAATGCTAACATGGACAACATACCAATTTCCAACTGTTAACGTTGGCAAAAGGAAAGCCGAGCTCCCCACCTTGATTGCAGGTGATACATGTGATACACTATGATTGAGGCAAAAGGTGAATCCTCCCAAAGTTCGGACCAGTCTGAATTGATCGTGACCATTGCACAGGTTCCGACATCCGATTCCAACATCTGGCTGCAGGTCATTGCAATGCAGGAGCTTTGACCTTCAAAGGTTAACAAACATGGAGTGCAAACGGGTTTTTCTGTGTTTATCTACTATGTTACTCCCAGATATGGTCAAAAATGTTGATCTCACTGTTGCTCTCCCATGGTGAATGTTCTTAGCACCACCTATATCTGCCCACCCCACCCATCTGCCCACTCGCCCGCTGGGTGGGCCGCACCAGCATGAAGGTGCCCAACATCTCGGCGGCCGACGACACCCAAAGGCCTCCCATCAGCGGATCGTGAGTGTGTAAGGAGTGTTGGAGAGAGACAATGCTAGCATATCAAGAGAACAACTTCTGAGGTCCGCTTGACTGGATCATTTATGAGACCGGTTCCTGCCGCAAGACGATAAATAGTTGCTGTAAATTCTAATGGACCATGGATCTGGTCACATGCCAGGATACAAACCCAGGTTCATGGGGGTTCGATTGCAAAGTTAGCTGGGAATTCCTGTTTTGTTCTCTCTCTCTCTCTCTCCCTCTCTCTCGTCTCTGTGACCAAAGGATCCAAAGCACCTGGCTCGTGAGTCTGCAAGCCCTCATCAGTGGCGTCCTGAGGAGTCATGTTCATTTCATGGATGACGAACTAAACACAAAATCAGCCAATAGATTCGATGTATCAAGTTCTAATTACTGATGTGTACAACCACCAATGGCTAGCCACATGTTAAATAAATATATTTAGTTTAAGTATGTTTAAGTCACAAACCGCCAATAGATTCGATGTTTTATATAATCACAAATAACTATCTGATCTGCTGTCAGCTGTCACCAAAGGCTCCAGCGTCTCAAGTTCCCGAACCTTCCCACGTCAGGCCCCCGTCCTCGGCGAACTCCTCCGGGCGCAAGGCGCGGAAGGCGCCGGCAGCGGCCGTGGCGCCCAGCAGTTCGGCCACGCACCAAAGCCAACACCAGTGCATCTCCTCTTGTTGGGAGCTACACGAGGTCTGTGGTTGTTGGTTTGGGCTCTGAAGTGGTTGGAGAGGGAGTGATGAATGTGATGGAGTGTGGTGCTGGAGAGGAGAGGGTCTTGGATAGTCAGGGGCGGTGGACTGGATGTTCTGGATGCATTGAGTGATGGGTCTTTCTTGTATTGTTGAAAAGAGCATTGTAGAGCTTGGAATGGTCAAGGCCAAGTTGGAACGTTTGGAGAGGTTAAGGACGATCCGAATCCTATATATAATCCTATTGGTTTTGGGATGTGTGGGGTAGAAGTTGTATCCGATGTCATTGACAGCAGTTGCCCGCGTGGCAGTCAGCCTGACCTCTGATACGTACCATGACTATCAATGACTTACATGTGAGCTTCCCAAAAAACCGCCCTCCCAAAACACTCACCCACCGACTCGGCCACTGAGAACGACTATATATCTGTGTGACCCCTCAATCCGACGGACCTCCCCGCGAGTCCAGAACCGCGCGGTCCTTCCACGTCCCCACGCTCAAGGCCAAGGCCGGGTTCAGCGCGGCCCCCGAGACGCCGCCCACCGCGTGGCCGCCGGCGACGAGGACGAAGCCGATGGCCAAGCCGCCGAACTGGTTGGGGTCCTTGGTGTCAAGTTGGGCCGTGAAACATCTGGAAACCGAGGTGGACGGTGGATGCGATCAAGGACTGAGAGGGAAGAAGCAAAGGTCCCATAGACGATGCTGGTAGTATTTGACTGTGTGACTGTGTGATATCGCGTGTTCATACTGAAGGAATTCCTTGATCCTCCTGGGCATTAGTGAAAAACTGACAAAAGCCCCCCTCGATCGACATATTGTTGATATGTTGTGGTGAAAATATAGGAATTTTCTAGAATACAGACCCCAAAACGCAGCACGCGCTCCTCTATCGTTGGTTTGTCATGTCAAAATCAATGCGGTGCCATTTCATCGGCCAAGGCGCATCTTTGGGGTTGTTGCGTCGCGAGGCAGTGCAGTTCAGGACCACAAAACAAAGCATGAAGGTGTAGAGAAGTTCTGCTGTGAAACAAGAGCCTCCCAATGACAACCGGAGCAATACGATTTCACCACAAAAGGGTGGCAGTCTGAGATTTGAGGCTGCCAACTAAAAGACTGACAGGCAGTTCGAAACTTTGAATAGGTGGCTGGCACACTTCGTGCAGCTTGTAATTGCTCCTGTATCCATGCCACGAAGCAACTCTGGTGATAGAACAGAGCAACTCTGGTGATTGCAACTGTGACAGGCCAACTTAAGCAAAGCCTCTCTAGGCTTCAGGCCCTTTCTAGGCCCTTGAGACGGCCGTTCGATCCCCAATCCCCACGACGCTGCGCGGGGCCCCCGCGGTGCCTGCTCCGAAGGGCCGGAGGGGCGCCACCAGGACGTAGTTCGGAGCGCAGATGTACCGCGCGGCTGTGGCCCCCAGGAAGCCGCCCAGCAGTTGCACGGCCCAGTACTTGAGCCTTGCGTGGCACGGAATCGCCAGTGGTAGTATTGAGTTGGAAATATGGTGATAGTACTGAAAACCCGTTTAAAAGTAATGAAAGGCCTTATTCTTGAGTAGTTATATACAAATAAATCACCGTTTGCTTTTTGTGGCAGTGTTTGTTGTTAGGCAAGTGGTAGGCTCGGCCCAATCCCTTCTTTTGGCATGTTGTGGGTGCGTGTACAAGATTTGGGGTGTTTATCCATCTATAGTCCCCGAACTAAAGAATAAACTATCAACGAGCCAATCCCAATAGAAATCCAGGTTGTTCTCGTATAAACGGGATCTAGCAACTGGCTAGTCTTGCTTGCTTCCGATATCAAACAAATTGCAATCAATCGCTTTCCGGCGGGTGACAAGTTCAACATGCAATGACCACACACAAACAAACCGCTCACAGTGAAAGTAACAATGTCAAAAAAGAAACTTGAGGGGTCCACATTGGGGAAAAGCTATAGCTGTTTGTTTCAAGTGACATTTGAAGCCATGGCAGTTTGCCAGAGATCGCCAAGGCTAAGGAGACTGCGGGGTTGAGATTGCCTCAGGACCATCGAGCCGTGTATTGTGGCACCACGGGCCCAGGGGCATAATCAAAAATGACTTATGTAATTTGATTATGGTGATGCATAATCAAGAATTATACATAATCATAATGAAATTCACGTGCATACTTATCAACGAATTTCCATGGTGATGCACTTGGTGATTTGAAGCAAACATGTGTTCCGAACAAAAAAGCACATCTGATCCACATCATAGTGTGGATGTCAAAGATCCACATGGTGCAAATCAGAAAAGCAAAAAAACAGGTAAACAGGTTCAGTTCCTGGTCCTGGTCTCTCTGAAAAACGACCCCACCCCCACCGAGATGCCTCCAAAGATTGGCCCTGTGGCATAGACCATGACCTCAGGTCCCGCCCGCTTGCCCGATCCTGGCGAACTGCGAACCCTAGGATGATTCGGATAATATATATATATATATAATATAGCAAACCAATCAAACACCGTGGCAGGGCTTCGCTTTCTCGAAAAACATCTAAAAACGTTTCAGTGATTCTTTTGAATGTGAGCATGTTAGAGCCCCAATCCTCGTGGTTGTGTCTGGTGTGCCAAAAGCTTCTCTGCGGAAATCAAACCACGCTAACTGGCTCCAAGGGCCTTGTTGGCTCCACCAGTCTCTTTTGCAGCACCTGTTTGAGCTTGTGAGAAGAAAGGCTCCCTACCCCACGCCAAGACCACCAGGCGATGATGCATGGAGCTGGCGAGCAAGAGAGCCAACGGTTTGCATCTTCCTAACCGCTTGGGCATTCGTCTGAGATCTTCCAATCTTGAATTAGCTCATTTTGCTGTCTGAGACCGTGGCCATGAGAACTGCCGCGATGGCGGTCGGTGCCCATGGCACCGGCGCAGGCCCAATCACCACACAGCCTCAGTGGCTCACATGTCTTTCCTTGGGGTGGTTCCTTCTTCCAACTTTCCTCGGAAGGCTCTAAGCACCCCCACCCACAGTGAGGACCAGGCAAAAGGTGCCAAGGCCTTCGGCCTCAAGGTGTTTTCAATCAGCTTCGAAAGGCCGGGTACTGCGATTGAGATACTGAAAGACTTTGATGTGAACTTGATCATATAGAACACATGCATGGGCAAAGTTCCAAATGCAAACCTCTTCCCCCAGGCTCCAAAGACTCCGCTCTTATCTGAGAAGGCGTTTGGTGAGGGTTTGGAGGGTCAAACCGGGAGACCAGTGTTGGATCGTCGCCAGGCCACCAGCAGTGGAGGGCTCAGAGTGAGGGTCGGAAGGCTCCAGCGCCATAGGTAGCTGCATTTCCACCAATTCCCGCCAACCTCAAAAGAGTTCAGATTTGGACCACCACAAATCTGCAAAAAGATGCGAAAAGAGTCGTCATCTGAACATCCCCCAACAATTGAGATCAACCTGTTCGGCTGGAGGCCGAGGCTCTGCGTGGCGAATTGTGGGTCGACGTGGCCGCGCCTTCGCTGCATATGTGGCCCCATAGTGTGCAGCCTCTGCTTCCATTAACGACCTGAGGTTGCCAAGTGTTGCGGTAAATCAGAATCAACACAAGAAATAATGTCGAGGCTATTGAAGACTCAAGACTCATCAGAGTATAAACATCAAGGATCAAATCTTGTGCAAGTATCTTTTTGTGTTAGCAGCTAGCAAAACCCTGGCGCCACTGTCATCAATGCAAGAGTCAGTGTGGGTAATTAACAAACAAAACTGACCCGCAAACAAAGGGCAGCATCTTCTGAGCCACAGAAAACGGCAGAACATGTGTTCTGTCTCCAAGTCCCTCACTTCGATGGAGCCTCTTCCGCCATGGGCGAAACCTTAAAGCAGCGCAGGGAATTCGCACCAATAGGTTGGAAACCAATGTGCATCTTGGCCAATGAATTCAGGAAATAAACACATATCATAAGAAACAAACTCCTGAGCCAATAAATTGTTATATATATATAAATAAACATACATAAACCATCATAAACCCAACACTCATGTCAAGCCCCGACAAACAAGTCTTGGTTGGTAAACAGTATCATGCTAATCTTAGAGACATGGCATTTGGAATTCTAAACATGAGACCTACGTATATCCAAACAGAATAAGTGTACGGCTGGGCATCGTCAGTATTTGAGGAAAAATACATAGCGGTGCCACGTTACACGGGCACCAACACATGTCAAACAGACACGCGTCTCAGGTTTCCTTTTCACTGGCCGAACGGCCGTTGAACGCTGGAAGCCACTGAGCCTCCGGCGTTGGACAACGCAAAACGTTTCGGTGGACTTCGGGAAAGCCGAAGTCTTGCTTGCGGTGAAAGGCTGAAAGAGCCAAATTGCTTGCGGCGTGCAGCGTGCCAGGTCACCTTGGGTGAAATGAAAGACGGCTGTACGGCTATAGGTTATATAATTAAACATGCTGTATATAATATATACAACTAAAATCATTTGTCCCAACGAAGCATGGTGCAGCAATGTTCAGCAAAAGCGAGCCGCGTTTCAGTTCCATAGAGTCCAGTGTTCTGAGTCACCCTGAGTCACCCCTTTCCAATCAGTTGTGTCCAGTCGCACTCAGCGCATGGCTGGCCAACATGGTTGCCAAAACAAAGCCACCTTGACGGTACCGTCGACGTTTGGTGAATTGGTGTGAATTTAGAGCTGTGTTCGATGTGAAAGTGATGCCAAACACTGCATCTTCCTACTCACCTACTGAAACAGTGAGCTGGAGGCCCTATTACTTCAAAATGGCCGCTGCTCTACCAAAATGCTCGCCTGGTTCTGCTACGTCTATCTCCACCGGTCGTTGTTTTGACCGGGTTGCTCGGCGGATCAGATCAGTTCCGACGTGATCGGCGTTCTTTGTTCGGCCAACAACATGAATTAGTATAATATACAAACAAAGAAACCCCGATGGGGATCACAGCTTCAACTCTTGGAGGGTTCAAGGTTCCAGGCAACCATCCGAAAGAGCCTCACGGTCCAAAATCACAAAGCCCTGGGCGCTCCACTGCCGTTCCTTCCACACATGGCTGCTCTGCTTGGTAAACGCTTCATGCCACGTCCACCTGCAGCGAGCTCCGCAGCGCTGGGGGAAACCCCTGTTGGACTGATCCGGAGCTAGGGAACTCTAAGACTTCTCACAGTTTGGTACTATGGTACCGGACAGGTACTGTACAGCTGCTGATCTTGGAATGCTTGGTCTCTGTCCTGCCGAAACTGTGGAACCTATATAGTACTAGTTGGATGTGCCGTTGGAGATGGAACCGTCCAATGACGCAACAAGAAAGTGCCTCTGACTCTGAGCTTCCTTTGCGCTTTGTGCATTGGTGAGCGGAGTTTGAGCGACCCAGATCCAATGTTCACGTGAGCCAAGGGCGTGATCTTGGTCAAACCGAAGAACGGAATGCTCCGGATGTTTCAAGAGGTCGCCCAAACCAACGAAAATGTGTCCAATCCTGCTTGCGGTCAAAACAACCCACCCCGAAGACCCCGACTGGCCCACCGAGGACTTGGTGTCCAACATGCGGTTTGCACAGGTTCAAGTCTCAAGATGCTCGCTCTTCCAGGAAGCAGGCAATGTTTGGTTCTTTTGAACCGCAGGCGACGGCAGAACGTTCCTCTGGACAACATCTAAAACTCTGCGGCGAGGTGACGTGCGTGTGGTTCAGGTCCTTCGGTCCTTCAGCATTCATCCTTCAGTCCTTCGCATGCAATCACGTTCACCTCTTGCTTCTTGTCGGGCAAGTAGAAGGGCGCTAGAATCCCATTCTCCGCCTTTGTCCAAACCATCTTTCCAGGCTTGAAGGTGTTCAAAGAACCTTCTTGAACGGTGTACCTGCCATCACTGCATCCATTCAAAGTCAAGGGCTCAGAAAACCACACCCAAGCATTGAACAAAGGTAGACTGGTAGACTCAATAAACCGGGGAAGGGTAGGGTCCGGTCGGGTTGCAGCAGTTCCCTTTCCGATTCTGGAGGTATCTGAAACGTCTATTTTAAACGGTTCGTTGCTTAAGGTACTCCTCACAGTACTCCAAGAATCTCAGTTAGTGTCACATCAGAAATTCTTTTTGGGATTGAAGGGACCTGACCTTTTTCCCAAACCGTGGGTTCTCTACATGGATTATATAATATTATATATATGGTCGGCTCTCGTGCTGCCAAGTCTTTCTTCCAAGCTGCCCCGTGCCCTGCAGGTTCTTGAAGTTCCAACCCTTGATGTAGATGGAATTGCCAGACGGATAACTGCCACCAAAGCTGGTGTAGAACACAAACATAGAGGTGTCGATATTCACTTCACCACCTCCGGGTTGTGGAATGGGCTGCTCAAGCGTCGGAGCTTCACAGGTGATATTGGCGAAAATCACCTCAGACTCACCGGTCCGTGCCCGGCAGCCGCGGAAACAGGACAACAGATTGAACATAAAGAAGCTAAACCACAATTCATGCATAAACCGAATCAAACACATGCAAACAGCTCCTTCTTCGACAGAATCACGCCTGAAAGGCGTCAAGAATCCCATCTGAAAGGCAAATGCTCTCTGGAACTACAATAATGTCTTTGATGACACAGGCTGGCTGGCCCCAAAAAAGTTCCCAGCTGTCCTCCAAATCTTTGAACTCCTTTGACATTTGACTAGTATCCGCGGAAGCAAACATATGGGCATATGAGCATCAAAAGCTATTGGACGAACGAATGCCCTACAGCTCACCCGGGTTTCTGGTTGAAACGCCGACCAAGTGGCCGATCGGAGCCCATAGGTGGCCACACAATTCCCATACCTCGGCGATGCGCATCGCCGTAGGGTTGCTGAGGTGAAAAGCCCCCCCAAATGGGTCGTCCAAGTGCTCTTTGGGATGGTCCCGGAAAAGTGGTTGAGCCTAACCTTCAAATACCATACCAGTGGTCAGCCCAAAAAGAGAAAAATCAGGTGTGGGAAGGACCGTGCAAAACCGCCCAAACAAAGGAATCCTTCCCCTGTGAAAGGCCAACTGTTCATCCAATGCTACCAGGGCTACCAGTTGGGCCGCATGATCCCAGGGTTGACCGCCACCGCGTTCGCGAAGGTGATCTGCTCTGGGAAGGACTCTGCGCCCCAAAGCGCCAGGGTGTCGTCACCTCGGGTGGAACGATGCAACAGAGTTGGTATACAAGAAGTTGGTATATACGTGCGACGCGCAGAACCAATGCAACATCTTGGAGTCTAGGACTGTTCAGCTGTTCAGCGTTGTGCAAAGCGTTCCACGTGCGCTACGTAGCTTCTTAGTTTTTTTGTCGGAGCATGAAGCTCTGTAAGAAATGAGAAAGTCACATTGATGCATCCCCATGGGCAGATATACTGTAGCAGTCCAACTCTTGTCTCCCAGGAAGCCAGCAAGCATGGCAAAAGGGGGGCTGCAGAGTGAATGAACCGAGTTGCCAGTGTTCTCGATGTACACGTCATGCACCAAGGCACCTTTGATGTTCCCATGCAGGTTGATGCCATCCGCTTGCGCAGATGTTGCCTTCATGCAAGTGTCTCGGTTCTCCGCAAAGTGTCATGCATAGAATCCCAATGAGTAACCCACAGAAAAAATAAAAACAAGATGGAACCCACGAACCCGAATGCAAACACGATCGAAAAACTAATATGTCCAAAGGACACTCTTGTAGGACACTCTTGCGGGACACTCTGTAGGACACTCTTGTGGGCCACTCTTGTAGGAAACTCTTGTGGGACACTCTTGTAGGACACTCTTGTGGGACACTCTTATAGGACACGCTTGTGGGACACTCTTGTGGGACACTCTTGTGGGACACTCTTATAGGACACTC